GTAGATTTACTGGATAGATGATTATATATGCTGCCACATATGTAATATATGCATTTGATATATAAGACATCACAGAAAGGATTAAACGGTTTCCAGGGCAATCTGGCTGACATTTAGCAATTGCATGCCGTCTTTCGACAGCTTCACCAGTGCAGGATGTGCATATTCAGCATGAATTCTGACAACCAAAAACATAGCATAGTATAGCCATCAGTATTTCACTGGTTGGTGGTTTGGAACATGTTTTTTCCCACAATATATGGGATGTCATACTTCCCATTGACTTTCATATTTTCCAAGATGGTTAAGTCACCACCAACCAGTTCACCTTGGGAATCAGAGATTTATGTTGCACGGGACGAGTCTGCTGATTGTGTTGTTCACAGGTGTTTCCTATTGCCGAAACCATTGTGATTTTGTATGATGAGTCAGTAGTAATTGATCACAAAAAAAACTATCATGAAACAAACATATGTCGAATTTTCGCTCACCAGTCACAGCTTATAGGTCATATAAAGTCATACACATGTAATTACGCAAGTGCGGCAACATGTAGCAATGATATTGAAGCAGGTTTGCTTTTCATGGGTGATTTTTCCCGTTCCTTGTGAGTGCGCTTCAGTGTATGACAATTTTCGAATTCCAGGCGCCATTCCAATCTTCAATCGTGTCTTGAACGGCACCGACTGTGATGAGACTTGGTCCTGGCATGTCCCTTGGATGTCGCCAGAGTTTGAGCAGTGAAACATGTTTCAGCAGCGAAATGTCGGTAGTCACTATGGGCTGGGAATAACCAATCTATATTCTATATTCTATATGGGAGCCGTCCGTAAAAGCAGATAACGAATTTATGAATTGATGCGTTTACTCTGCTTTGCGCGATTGCCAAAACCTGCATCGCGATAGGCTGAGCGATTGGTTGGCGATTGGTTATACGGCTACGACTACTACTACAACAACAACAACTACTACTACTACTACTAATACTACTACTACTACTACTACTCTACTAATCTACTAATCTACTAATCTACTAATCTACTAATCTACTAATCTACTAATCTACTAATCTACTAATCTACTAATCTACTAATCTACTAATCTACTACTACTACTACTAGTACTACTAGTACTACTAGTACTACTAGTACTACTACTACTACTACTACCACCACTACTACGACTACTACTACTACTACTACTGCTACTACTGCTAACACTGCTACTACTATTACTACTACTACTACCTCACTACTACTACTACTACTAGTACTACTAGTACTACTAGTACTACTAGTACTACTAGTACTACTAGTACTACTACTACTACTACTACTACTCTACTACTACTACTAATCTACTAATCTACTACTACTACTACTACTACTACTACTACTACTAGTACTAGTACTAGTACTAGTACTAGTACTACTACTACTACTACAACAACTACTACTACTACTACTCCTCTACTACTACTACTACTACTACTACAAGTAGCTCCTGCCGATCACTTTAAGCGGTTCCACCAACAGAAGCGGGTGTACCCCGGACCGGACGTATTCTTGGGGGGAGCGATCCAGGGCCCTGCGCAACTTAATGCATACCCCTAAAGGAATGCGTCGAAAACAGAACGGGGCTGGTGATCGGTAAGGAGGATGGTAAGATACCCGAAGCTATTACAAGATATATAGTGGCATTATACTGGCAGTCTCCACTATTACGTTTCGAAAGTTCTGCCTTTGCTTTTTTTCCAAATGACAAAGGTCCCACTGAGGGGTCAGAAATCAGTCAGAAACCAGTCAGAAACCGGCCAAAAGCAACCTCTCTCTCTGTCTC